GGCGACCCCTGCTGCGTGCCCTGTCATTACAATGATTGGGGTCGTTTTTTACCTCTAAGGATGGGGGGCCGGGGGGGGCTGCGGCGGGATCGGCTCGCTCTGCCTAATGCAGCCCGCTTCACCTGGCATGTTTATGGTTCTGCTGGGGGATGTAAGGGGAGGGGAGGGGTCAGTGGGGCCTGTTCATCTCACAGGCTGACAGGCAGACGCACATATAATACATGTAGGGGATTGTGCAAACACACTTCATCACACACGTACTCCACACGTAAACAAATGCATCTACCTGTGGCTCCGCATGCTTTGACCCACTTTGTCACATAATGCGCTGTATACATTCAAACACCTTGCTCCACTCTCCTGCACAAGGTCTGTGAGCTCGGTATCTGCCTCCTGCAGAGGTGACGGGGAGGTCAGCCTGTCTGACTTTGAGCAGAATCCCCCTGCGGCTTGCCCCAGCGTCCCCCCTGGCATGTGTAACAGGACCTGCCCATGCTGCCTCTGCTCTCCCCTCCCTCAGCTCCTGCACTCCCCCCACTCTCTATTGCCGCTGCCTCTCTCCCCCCAGCCCTGGTATAAATAGATGGGTCGTGCCTGCTGTGCTACCCAGAGGGGGGCTGTCGGGGGGCACAGAAGCCATGCTTCCTTTTATAAATGCTCCACAGTGTCTATGTGGATTCCTCCTGTCTGTCCAGACAGCACTATTCTTCAAACAGGTGGACATATAGTAGGACACAGACAGAGAGGAAAACACAAATTATTTCTAACTATTTCTGATAAAAGGTGAACCACACATGCTAACCAATGCCAAGCTGTCCATAAACATAGATGCAATTCAAGCATGATCACTGATGTACTTTATAGCACCATATATTGCTGATCAGACTCATGTCAGCAGGTAACTGCATCCCAAAAGCCGGCAAAGCACAATTAAGAGATGAGATATTCCTTTAATCATCCCACAGGGGGAAATTCTAAATTTTGGAGTAAGTGTGAGCCAAAGACTAAAAAATCTAAGGTGTAACTTTTGGTCGCCCCAGAAAGAGATAAAGAGGCGGAGTTGTGGGAGGCCTTTCACCTCCTTGCTAACAGCTAAAGTCATTCAGTCAAGCCAGCTGTGCAACTTAAGAGACAAAACGTGACATCTAAAATTCCTCAAAACTAATGAGTTAAAAAGTAATTCCACCCACTGTGGAGTATGTGCCTAAAATGGGTCATCCAGACAAAAAGTCATGATTTTAAAGGCTGTTAATATGTTCATTTTTGCTTTTGTGAATGACACGTTAGAAACTGCATTTTTTGTCAATTCCTCAGGCTGGTCTTACTGTCACAGGGGACAGTGTTCATGCATACAGGACTTGTGTGAAAGTAACCAAACTGGAAGTCCTTAAAAGTGTAAAGGCTGTTGTTGTTTTTTTAATGTCAGTGAGTGATCCAAATGATCTCTCACTGCACTCTCGGCTTTAAAGACACAAATCAAGGCTGTATCTCACCGATTGGAGCACTTCTAAACTTTCCATTAATCATGATAAAAGAATCTGGACTTGAAGCAGTGGAAACACAAACGCGTGATTATTTGGAGTTTTTCATGAAAGAGTGATGGAAATGATGGTAAAGAGAAAAAGATTCAGGATTCATACCGTGTGATTGTCAGGCTTCTTTTTTCAGCCGCACTGAGTGACCACAGACCACTACAACCCTAAAGATCCTGTTACAAGGTTACAGCACTCCACTCCATCTTACTATCAGTGAGTCAGCTTCAGTATTGATTGATGGCTCTGTAGCACTTAGCCTGAAGTGTGATTGAATTAAAGTGGCTCTTTAAGCAGTGTGTGCCTTCACTTTGAAGAAGTGATGAGGTAAATGAATTTCATGTTTTGCCTTTTCCCCCTGAAGGGTATTTTTCCATGTTTGTGTGTGAAATTGTGTGCAGATGGGTTGTGTAGATGAAACCATGCGTGTGCGTGTGTTTCTGTGCGCGTTTCCCACAGTGTGTGTGTGTGAGTGTGTGACATTATGAGACGATGAGGTGCAGAAAGCGCGGCTTTGCACCCTGAGTCCTTCTAAACAGCTAATGGAGGTGCAAGGCTGAGCAGTGTATCAGTTACAGACACTGTGCTTTCAAGTGCTTGCTGAGTCTGCACAATTTTAAGAAGGCTGAGATTTTTGGGTGGACGAGCTGTTGGTGGATGAGAGTTTTTAGATTGTGTTACATAACTGCATAAAGAGCCCTAAACAAGAGTGCACAAGGGTTCATGTCTGTGTGTGTGAGCTTGTGTTGCATACTGCTCCTCTGCGCTGCATGTGTGTGGATGCGAGTGTGAATACTTCGCTGTCACTGGATGATAGCAGCTGGCTTCACTTGAAAGCAATAGCTCTCCTGGCCATGCACTTGGCTGGTCAGGACCCCAGAGCCATCTACTATATTAGATTGAAGTACGTCCAGTCAGCAGGGCTGAGAGGACGGCATGCCTTGACCTTACCTTATGAAGTCTGGAACCGGTGTTGCTGAGCACTTTTGCAGGGCCGCTCAGTGGGAACAAACCGTGATCTAAACGGCTCTGTGCAGAGCAGAAAATTGTCTCCATGTAGTCTGTTACAGCACTTGAAATAGAGACACAAAAGGCTTGACGATTTCCCCAGTATGCAACTCAACTTGACATTTATGATTTCTGCAAAACAGTTACACAAAGGCCGTTTCCAATTTGAAAATGTGAATGTTAAATTAGTTATTTTTCATGTAATTAGCTGTAAACGAAAGCTGCTCGGAGTTAATTAAATCCCTTCACAGTTTGCTCTCTGTGCAGTGCTTATAGTTTCTTTCTCTCGCTGCGGTATGTGAGTGTACTTGTATGCACTGTAGGTGCCATACTGTACCTTTCTATCTGCAAAAGCGTCCGTTATTCTCCCTCTGTGTGTCTATTACCCTGAGTGAGTTTGTGTGTGTTTGTGTGTGTGCGCATACTTACAATCCACTCATCCACTGCTGTGGTGTAAGTACGGCAGTGTTGAATAATGCAAAGAGCCTCAGACTCACCGCTGAGCAGACACAATGGGGCCTCTCAGCTCAAGACATACCATTCTGTATTGTGCTGCGTCGCGCTGTACATTTGTGCATTTGCAGATGGAATTGTATTACTGTAGAGCTATGTGCTGCCAGAGATGCCCCTGATAGGACTGTGTTGAGCAGATAGTGTGACAGCAAACATTCAGGATGGTGTGGGTTTCTCGTAGAACACATCGGTATGAGCTGCTCAAAACTTATGATAAGAATACTCCGACCGCATTCAATAATTGCAGGCCAACCCCGATTAAACCGTTTGCATTTACATATGAATAAAACACACTCTGTATGTGGGGATCTCAAAATAAATCTGTTTGTTGTTCGTTTTTTGTTGCAGAAGAGTTCCCCCTCAACCTGACACACCGCTGCCGAGACCCCGATGGAGGAGGAAACCCAAAAAACCCCTCTCTACCCCCTCTGCAGTGTGTTTCAGAGCAGGTGAGAAACATTAACATCAGCAGCAGCAGCAGCTGCAGCACCTCTGCTAAACACATGTGAACCAGGATATGAGCTAGCTTGAGTTCACCCACTGTCAACACAGGTCACTGATGTTAACAGTCTCCTCCCTGAGGCACGCAAACAGTACAGAGAGTAAAAATGGCACAGCAGAGTGGAGTCCATGATTTGACCTCATCGCCCTCTCTAGTCTGCACCAGAATAACCAGTCAGTGAAATACATAAACAATACATGTTTAAAACCGGTCATATTTTGTGTCTAAGCTGTAGCCACTAACTGGGGCTGTATCTTCAGTACTGCCATAATGCCATAATTCTCTACGATCCAGATGTAAACAAGCACAAATGACGGATTTTATGTTCTAGAAAATGAAAATAATGTTGTATGTCGGCAGTGCCTGGTTAAACCGCACTGCAAAAAAGGAAAACAGTCTTGTATTTAGGAAATAAGTCTTATTTTTATACAAAAAGAAAATTAATCTTGTCAGGCATGATGGGCATTAGAAAAATGATCTGATTTTAAGAGACAATGGCTAACCTTTTCTTGATAAGATATTCCAGCTAATTTTGAGATGGAATGAACCAGAAATGAAGTAGAAAAAAACAAGATCATTCGTCTCATTTTACATATGTACAACTTCTCAATTTAAGAATGCCATGAAACAAGAACAGTTGATTTTTCCATTGCAGGTCATCTGAACCTAACAGATTCTACTGCCTCATACATAATCTGACATATAAAGATGTCAGTAGGATAATCTGTACAACAGACAACATAATACAATGACCAGATGAAAGCTGCAAAACAACAAAGAACAACAAAGAACACGCTTGCTTTCCACATGCTTACTTGTGGAATAAAAATATATATTTAATGAGAATGTTTTGGTATCTTAATTTAAGACAAAATCACTTATATTTGCTATGCTGCTTATTTGAACTACTGTCATGCTGATTAATAATCCTAGATTAAGGTGTATTTTCTTGAAGTTCATTTATTCAAGACACTAAAATCCCAATTTTAAGTAACTTCATCTTCATTTTTCATTGCTTGCTGTAGAAAAAATTAGATTAATAAAAAATATTTCTGTCTAGTTTGAAGTTTCATTTGAGTCTGTCAGGGCCAAGAAATTTGTTCTTATTTTGAGAATTCTTGTCAAGCAAAAAAAGATTTTTTTTTTGCTTGATACAAGATTATTTGATTAAATATAAGAATATTTTGCTTCTTTCGAGTAGGGCTGTTTTTGCAGTGTGGCTCAAAGCCGCTCAGCCTGAGAAATGCGTTATTAGTACCGGTATGTGAACCTGTTGGTAGGACCAAAGGCTGGTGATGCTAGCTCTGCCCAGATTAGCTGCACTCAGCAAACTAATTTGACGTCACAAACTCTGTGATTTTGGAATAGTTAAATTATTGTGTAATATTGCTTTTATCTTTTAGTTGTTTTGTTGTTGACTTGAATGTAGGGATGAAGAGCAGCAACTTCCAAAAGTTTCTGACCCAATTCCTGCATGCAGCCCCATATCATCGTTTGTAAGGACTTAAAGGGTTAAATACCTTAATAACTGAGTCATTTTTAGCATTTTAAAGAGGTAAAAAGTGCATTTTATTCTGCAGCTTGAACACGTTTATAGTGAAGACCACCTCAGGAGACATAAATGCAGAGATCCAGGTCAGATAAACACTTCACAGAGTTCATCAGAGTGTCCCAGGTTCTGTGAAGCTTCTATATGATTTCTACCAGTTTAACACTCAGAACTATATCAGTTATCTATGAGGTGTGTGATCAGGGGATTGTACCCTTAATTTTTGAACCACCTGGAGTAGAAAAAGCAAAATGTTTTACAGAAGTATGAAGGAAAGTTTGAACCTGCTCAAGCTAAGAAAGCACCAATAGTTGGAGAGGACAAACCCATGTACAAATGACCAGAAAGGTTCGAGTTTGAGGCTGTTCCAGATCATACACAGGCACTGAAGCAATCTTGATCTCAGGATATATCCGCATCATTACTAGTGAAAAATCCTATTTTACTTCATGTAAACCACATTAACCTGTCAAATTCAGATTTAAATGTGACCTGACAATATATCTCGACAGATATTTGGTCTGTATTGCAAGATTTTTTTTAAGGAAAAGCTTGTTGAATAAAATATAAACTCATTCAAGAAATTGTATGTTAAGAGTGTTAAAACAGCCTTTTTTTTACCACATCCTGACCAAAAACTGATCAAAATATGCTCTTAGATATTTGAAATGATATTTAATGAAAATAACAGTACAGTTTGGTTGTTTCAAGGTCCAAATGTTTCCATTAATTCCTTCACATGAATGTCACAGAACCCTCGAGTTGCATATAGGTCACATTAGAATATGGAAATGCTTTGGCGTTGCTATTTGTTTAGGAAGTATGTCCCTTATTGGATCATTTGAATCCCCCCCTAACCCTTATCTGTGAACCTACTGACCCGTCTGTCTCATTGTGTTCAGAACACAACGTGTCCCGTCACACCGGTGAGGCGTCCCAGAGGAGAGTGGCGTGTGTATTTGTGTGTCTGTGAATCATAACCTCTGTTTTGTATTCACTGAGGTGTGTCAAAGAGGATTACCTGCCTAAACGGGGACCTGAGGAGACTTTTGTTTTTTCAAAAGACTGTCCTTTGGGGTGAGGTAGTAGGTTGTATAGTTTTGGGGTTGTACCCTTCCTGTCAGATAACTATACAACTTACTGTCTTTCCTGAAGTGGCTGTAATGTCATCAGATGCAAGTGTTGGAACTTTTGGACCTGGATCAGCACTGGAATGGGCCTGTTAACCCACAGAAAAATGAACTTACGGAGCTGTCGCATTTTGACTCTAGAAGGCCGAGGCTTTTAATATTTGTGTTAATTTTAGTGCCTCCTTTGGACTAAGTGACTCTCCTGTCTTTGTTTTTCTTGTCCTCTGTATATGTTCAGAGTGTTTTTTTCTGGTTAAAAATCTAATCTTTCTTTCTTTTATCAGCAAAATGTATCTCTCACTTTGTACATTTAAGAAAACGTTCTTCATCACTGTCAGTCATCAGCAGTTACAGGCATTAGAAATTACAATACAAGGATCGTTAATCTTGTTTGATTTGTTAGCTCACAAAGAGGCATCATTGTTAATATCTGTTTTACTACTACTTAAGAACTCCTCACTTCAGTATTTTTTAAGGTATGTTTTTGTGATTTGTTGGTTCTCCTTGTATCGAAAGAGAACATCATCAAATAGTCACATATTGATATCAATCTGATCCCGTAATTGGTTCATATTTTCGGAGCTTTGTAATCTGTCTTTCCAACTTTTTCAATGAATCTTTCAACTTTTCATCCTTTTTTATATATTTTTTTAAAGTTCTGTCTATTTTTCATGTATTTTAAAAAATACTTGACCTAGCCTCTGTCTATGTAAAGTCCCACTGAGCATTTTTTGGTCTAAAAGAGGTCTAATAGATGTCTAAATGTAGCCTAGACGACTGGTCTAAAATCAGGCTACCACAGCTCTAAAAATTTACGTTTTTTAATTGTCTTGGTCTTTAGACCAAGTTTAGACTAGGCGGCTAACAGAGGTCGAACTGTATGTTGCTCAATGGCTATCATAATTATTTTGGTTTAGTACTCGGAGATCAGTTATGCTCACAGTTGCTTTTTGAAGTAAATAGTTATTGAATAATGGGTTAAAGTGCAACGTCTAAACTCAATCTAAAAATATACAGAATCTAGAAGGTTGAAATCAGGTCTTCTAAAAAAACTAGATGTCTAATAGCCGTCTATTTCTCAGTGGGGTAGATGGCAGATATACAGTAGGTATGAGGATTTATGATATGAAAATACAGAAGAAATCGTTCATTGGGATCTCTCTGATGTTCGAACGGGGTGAGGTAGTAGGTTGTGTGGTTTCAGGGTAGTGATTTTGCCCAATCAGGAGATAACTATACAACCTACTGCCTTCCCTGAAGGGCAGCAATACATCATCACCATACAGACAACAGAAGACATGGAGAGAAACACTGAGACCGGACTGGACCAGACGGATCTGCTTCGTGTTACCTGGAGTAAAAACAGCGCAGAGGATGAGGAGGTAGAGTCTGATCAATAGTGAGTTTTCTCTTCTGCTTTAAGAATGAATAAATACATAAAATGATGCATCTTTTTGTGTTTGGCATTTATTTCTGTTCTTGAATGTTTGACTTTAAAAAAAAGTAACCGCACATCCACAACAAAACTACCACATTCTGGTAAATCTCCACATAACCTTTTATACAGTCGATTAGCTTGAATCAAACACATCCAGACGTTTCTATCTGTTTGAAAGTTGAGACATTTTTGGATCTATCTTTGAGAAACCTGCCGTGACTACCTTCATCCCCTCCTTGGACGGGCCCTGCAGTCCTGACACGTTCAAAACCCCAGATGGAAAGATGGAAAGCCATGGCACGGTCTGACCTCCGGAGCGTCAGCAATGATTCATGCGGCAAAAGATGATGGTTACAGTGTGAGAGTTTCTCTCTGAGCAACTGAGTGTATAAATACACACAGACACAGACACAGACACACACTGCTACACATAGAGGTGAGTGCCAACTGGTATCAGGCTAGCTTGGGCGTCAGAAATGCTTCACTGTCTGAGACTGCAGACCTGTATCTCATGTCATGGTCAGAGTTGGGGCTGTCAATCACAGTGAGAGGTCCCGGTTACACCTGCAGCCACATTATCAAAGATCAGCTTTGTGTAAGAGGGAGCGTGTCTTTTTTAAGATTTCTGTTTATGGCCTTTTTGAGAGGCAGTTGATAGAGTCAGAAATGTGAAGAGAGAGTGGGGTAAGGGGGTCCAAAGTGGGATTGGAACCCGGCCATTTCTCAGAGGAGTGGGCCTCAGTTTCTGTGGCAGGTGAGCTAAACCAGCGCCCAAGAAGGGGTCTTCTTATTGATATTGGAATTGTTTCGATATATATCAGTATTGGACGATGCAAACGCAAAATCAGATGGTTGTCACCTTTACCTAGTGTCTGTGTTTGCTTCCAATACTGCCTAAAATGTGGGTTCAGGTATGGGGACAAACAATTTAATCGCCTAACTGACCAAATAGTAATAATCATTGCTTTCCCTCTTACACTGTGGCTGTTTTTAAAAACTTACAAATGTCAGAGTGGTACTTTTTTATCACCATACTCTAATACACAGAAGCCAGTATCAGAAACAGGCTGTATAGGGAAGCAAAGTATGCATTTTACTGTGCATTGACATGCCTTTACAAGCATTCAGTTCTGCATGTGCAACCTCAGTTTGCCCACTCTTTGTCCTTGACTTTGCATGTCATGGTTTCACACCAATCAGTCATGCCAAACATGCTGAGCTAGTTACACATTCACCAAATGTCTCCCCCACAATGACAAGGATTATGTGACAGCACAACATCACTGCAGCGTGGGAAAAAAAAAAAAGAAATCCACCACGCTACTGTATCCCATGTGTCCAAACCAGTGGCGTTAGTATTTGTATCAGGCTGCACCCACTGCATAGCCGTCCCCCTCCAGCCACCATATTGAATTGATTTGAGCCTTGGCCCTGGTGATGGAGCAAACTGAGCTGAATACTAAGCCTGATGAGACAATGGCTCTGTGTGCATCATGTCTCTGGGGTTGCATCTCTAAAGGCCATCCTTCATCTCCTCCCGCCTCAACGCCTCACTAAAAATCACTGCAAAAAGCTTGGACATGCACCCTGGGATATTCTGTTCCCGCGCGATGAGGAACTAATGAAAAGCTTCGGAGACTCACTCTGCAACATATGAGTCAGAATTCAATAATGTACTGTTGTGTTATACAAAGTTGCCAGGAATTTGACAGGAGTAACCCTCACAGCTCTGCATTTCTAAGCCTTCATATGATGTCATGGCTGTATAAATGGAATAGTGTTATTGATTGAATGTAAGTGGATAGGATTGAGGGCTCTGTGTGGGCAGGCCTCTCAAATCAACCACAGAGCAGAGTGCATTCGCTGAAATGAAGAGCTTAGCTGGTGACTGAATAGGTTAGGCTGCAATAATGTTTGCCATGGTGATTATAAAATATTATATATTTAGCTCTGTATATAGGGCGGAGAAATGAATCGAGTAGCTTCTGCAGCACCTATATCCTCTCCACATTTATTTCAAGGCTCCCTGCTCGAAGAAACAAATACTTTAATTACAGTTTATCAGTGATGTAACTTTAACGGCAGCAGCTGCAGGGTCTCACCTACTTATGCATATGGCAAAAGCGCCACCTTGTGGATGTGCATGAAGCATTCTTTGTATGCAGCCTGTATACAGTTATTACTACCATCAATTCTAAGATCAGCAACCAACAATTATCTACAATATGAATACACCAACACCTTTTTGAAGCCATCTTGTTTGTAGTTTTTTAAACAAGTGAAAAACGGTGATCATATGTCTTGACGGATCGATCAGTGGTCCTTTAAATATGTCTATTTGAGTTATTAGTATTTAAATTGTCTATTTGCTCAAATTCAATCCAAACAAAGAATAGCAGCTGCCTAATAACTAGTTTCAAATACAGCTTGTCAAACCAGGAGTAAAATACTATATTATAATTTAGAATGTTTTCCACCACATTAATATGTTTCTGAAAAAAATATGTTTTAATATGTGATTTTTAATCAGTAAAATCCCTCTTGAATTCTTTTGTTCTCATTTTATGGAGCCATAAAGTCTCTTCCTGAATGATGAAATGGGAAGTAATGTGCAGCAGTACAAGACTGCAAGCAAAGGAGCTGCAGTGTGTGCTTCCTGAGCACTAGAGGGCAGCAGAGCTCTGGCTGCCTTTAGCTGCTATTGTTGACCCACATACTGTCCCTGAGTGGGTCACCGTATTAACCCTTTACAAACCGTGGTCCTACCGGCACCCCAAATACAAAATTAGTAGAAGTTTATCAGTAATTTTAAAGATGAAAAATTCAAACATTGATCTGACCTATTTTGGCCAAATTGAATTTTTAATATATTATGAACTAAGACACAATTATTTAAATCCTTGTTGAAATAGTGTAAAAAGATCTTAATGACTCAGTTTAAAGATTCAGTTTCAGTAACATTAAACTATATTAACAGCGCAGCAGTAAGTCGTCCACTTAACTGCAGCTGTAACCGTTACTGCCTTGTCATAACCATGAATTACTTCATCGTGTTTCTGCTTCTTCATGGTCTGTTTTATTGCAGCTTGCTTCACTTCAGGGGCAGACATGCTGTAAGTAAATGGGGCATTTGTCATGATATTATCTGGATGTGGAAAGCACTGTGTCTCCCCTCTGATTGGGAAAGCAGCTGTTGTCCAGACACGAAGTCTTGACCGAAGCCCATTACTGTTTGACTGTCGTGTTGCAACGAGCCGTAGCTTGGGTCAGAGTTCTGGTTCTAATGTTTCTCCATGTGCTCATGGGAAAAAATAAGAGTCTGTGGGTGAGCTTGGTGCGCTGCAGCTGACATCGTTGTGGTTTTGTGATTAAGATTCATCTGTTTGAACCAGAGTTGGCATCAGTTGGTTTTATATTGAATGTAAAGCTGGAGTCAGTTTTCTCTCTGGACCACTGTGGCAATTTCTTCTACTATGTTTGAGCTTTTAACGAAATACTGGATTGACGTTGGGGATTGAGGTTCTCATATGACTACTTTAACTGTCCATTCCTGTATAAACTTTTTAAAAAGTTTATGATTGTTCTGTGAAATCCCAGGACTCTTGGATTTTTTCCAGAGCAGATTAGGTTTAATCTGATGCCTTGAGGTTTGGTCATATTTTATTTTTTGTTATTTGTGAATTTTTACAAGCTCAAAGCTGCAACAAACCATTGTGAATGTGAACAAATGTCCTCATCCAGACTGTTAAAATACTACTCTTGAGGTGAAGACTTAAAGGGATATTCCGGCGTAAATAACATTACTAAAGTTGGTATAACTAGAGAAGCAAGCGGTTGGCAACATTCATCTCTCGACAGGGTGTCTAACTCGGTGTTACGGTGTCTTTGACCCTAAGTTAATTTTACGCAGGAATATCCCTTTAACTTTGCACCTCTCTCAATGACAGAGTAAAAACATACCCCGAAATTCACAGAACCATTTTCTTGGACATAAAAAAGAAGCTTACACTATCATGGTTGACATATAGACTGCAAACACTTTTTATGTTACTTACAAAATTTCCTCAGCAAAGGTTATGATTCTGTCTGAAACTCTAGTGACAGCTGACCCATTAAAACTTTCAAAGAAGCTACTCGCTTTTGTATTCTGGTGTAGCCTATGTGTGGTGGTGAAAGTGGCAGAGGTGCTGTGGGTAATGCTTACTTGCTGTGGCATTTGCAGGCTCGTGACATTTGAGTTGTAGTGTCTGTCTTTACCATTAATATTGTTGTGGGGTTTTTTTTCACTTTTGCATTTTTGGTGTGCCTTGCAAATGCTTAAGATAATTTTTCATCCAAGTTACAACACTGAACTGTTGGGTCTTCATGCTTTGTTCCTTCATGTGTCTGCTTGTCTGTCAAAATACTTAATTAACTTCTTTAAAGATGCCATATAAATAAAGTTTATCATTATGTTATCAATAAGTGGCCAAATTGGGGATAGATAAAGTTCTTCTTATCTTATCCTAAACTTCTGTAATATTTGAATTTTACCTTGCTGAAGATTCAAAGAAAGTCGCTAAAGTCCTAAGTCCCAAATGAAAAGGTATCAGAAAAGGCTATTAGCAATATTTTATCATTCTTAGTATCAAATGATGATACTCCCAGGTAGGGCTGGGCGATATGGGAAAAAGTTTATCACTATATATTTTTTTCATATCATTCAATATTGATATGTATCACGATTTATCACAACTTTGCGAGAACATGTACTCGACATAATTTGCAGTGCAAATTACTCTGCTTCATGTCTGACCTCAAAAACCCCAAATACCTCCACACCACTGACATTTTCGTGCCAGTGTTATCAGCAATGTCATCATCAGTGCGAAGCGGACCCTGGGCAACTCCCCTTTTCCTTGGCTATTCGTATAGTCTACCAAAACATGGCAGAATGCTGACCATCGAAAAGCATATTGACCATGTTTGATATCGATATTGAGGGAAAGTATTTTTCAATATATATCATTAA